TTAATTATCAGTTAGTTCTTTATTTGCGGTTGCACTCGAGTGCATAACAGTAAAATTAGTACATTATTATCCAATAAAGAACATTAACTTCCTATCTTACAGTGATCCACTGCTCTGTGTCACATAGTTTTGTTTTGTTTTTTAAGTTCTTTGAATTATGTACTGTGCATAGTTGTTCAGTTACCAACCGTTACACTCAGCCATAGTATTTTCTCTGATCATTTTTACACTTTTATTCTTCACCCTTGCAAAGGAGATTGCAGTCATAAGGTTGAATATTTTAAAGAGATCTTTTAAACTGTAGTCTTTTCACTTTGTTCATCTCCTTCAAAACTATTGATCCAAAAATAAAGTAATATGAGGAACTGATGAAAAAGGCATGTTCTTATAGAAAGCTATGTAGGTGACTTTTTTATTTAAAAAAAAAAAAAAAAATCATATTCTGAGTTACCCTCATTACTGTCATTGCTCTGCCGCCCTTCTCTGTGTCCTGCCCATACAGCCTTCACCGACTGGGCCTCGTGTTGCTGGTCCCTCACTACCTGGTGGAGCTTCTGTTCCATGCTTCACGCCTCTTCTACTTCAGTGATGAGAACAAGCAAAAAGGGTATGGCTTCTGTGCTCAATTTAGGATTTACTACTCTGTGGGTGGTAACGACCTAATGCCTATTTTCTTTTGTTTTTCTTTGCAGTTTTACTCTGTGGGCGCTACTTTTTGTCATCGCCCGCCTCCTCACCCTCACACTCTCGGTTCTGACGTTCGGTTTTGGCCTGCCCCGAACAGAAAACCAGGGCTTCTCCCTAGCTGAAGGCAACTTCAATGTGCTCACCATAAGGTAGGCCCAGCTGGGATTTGAAGCGTATTGCACCTAGCCAAAATACAGACGGCAATAAACTTAAATTAACAACATCTGCCCCTTAGGATGACTTGTCTGGCAGCTATCTGCCTGACACAGGCCTGGATGATGTGGAAATTCATTAATTTCCAGTTGAAGAAGTGGCGAGAGCACAGCCAGAACCAAGCCTCAAAGAAGAAGGCGGCCAGCCCAAAGAGCAAGCCTCACAAAAGGGAACCCACAAGGGGTGAGTGTGCACTCTTTATTGTTGGGATTCTTTACTGCTCCGTGATGGTCGCTGATGAATATGCCAGTGTGAAATCAAATTGACCGGGACTCTTTCACTTACTTCGTCTTGTTAGGTGGAGCTGCCAATGGAGTTGTCAAATCTGAAGATAAAACCTCACCACGGGCAAGGAAAGCTAAAGCCTCATAGAGCTTCACAGAGGAGGAGGAGAACGAGTGAGGGAGTTCTGACAATGTGACGCTTTGTCTTTACACAGCTTAAAATTATGTGTACTGCTCCCCAAAACAAATGTTTAAGCACGCTAGGAAACCTTACATGACTGTCCCTTTTGGGGGGCTGAGACTCCTTTCCAACAAAGTTCAGTGTTACTGTCTGCTAGAAGTGTTTATTATTCATTTGGGTTTGCCGGAGATGTTGACAGGGCAGTTGTGGTTTTGATGCTTTACCAGGATGGATTTAGCTAATCAAGTGTCCTTTCGTGTAAAACTAAGATCGCTTGTCGGGTACTTTAAACTGAGTTGCTCTTTGGTAATTTGACACCGAATCAAGTTAACGTCACAGTACCTTAAAAAGCCACCCACTTCAGGGCAACTTAATATAAAGTATTAGCGTACACATCAGCTGTACAGGGTGTCAGTTAGAGTTTGGGCCTTTATTCCGTTTGGGGGGAAAAACACACAGGCTATGGCTCGTGTTCCAAAATGTAAAGCCTTTCTTGCTCTACGAAAGAGAATCTTTGATAATCTGCCGTTGTCAGGAAAAATCTCTTAAATTATTCACTCCAAAGGAATGTTTGGGCTATTTCCATATTTAGCGTAGCTGCAGTGAGAAAGGTGAAACTTGTACTTAACTCCTTGCCATCATTTAACAGCACCTGCCATTGAAATCCAACACGTTGCAGGATTGAGGCACTGTTATATTTTAGACTGCTTTTATCACTTACCCTGGTGATTGGCCTGTTGAGCCCTTTTCAGACATGGGTGATGTAACCTCGCTGGCTTCATCGGTCCGTTTAAGTGATGGCGTTCGGTCGGTCAAACAGGGCTCACTTTTCTGTTGCCGTTTCTCACGGTACGATGGATTGGGAATATGGAAAAATGCAACACAGAGCATTGCTATAATCCTAATCTTATTGCAGGTTACAAATGGATTTGGTGAGCTAAAATGTCACCCGTATTCATGTTATTGCTATGGATGTTTTTGGGCTGTAGCAGCTCACAAACATGTCTATGTCCCTATGTGATTACATTTAGACTGGTGTTTGAAGTGTGATGGGTAAATGTTATTGGCTTGACTTTTACAGAAAAGTCACCAGGAAGCCAACATGTCTGAAATGGGCTTTTACAGCTGTTCCTCCAGGTGAACTGACTTACCAAGAGGAAGCTGCACTGTAACCTGTAATGCCGCCACCGTATGCATTCAGTTAAATCTTTACAATGGCATGACTGGACGTTAGAAGGGGAAAAAGAACAAGAATTTGAGGCTGCACTTATGTCTTTTTATATGGTAATGTCTGCATGACGGTTTAAGGCTAAAGACTTGAATGGCTAGTTCTTACCTGTGCTGTTAAGTTTGCATTTCTCTCTCACTCTCACACACACAACACACAACACACACACACACAAGCATTCAGTGGCCTTTTTACAACTGCTGCAAGAGGTTTGAGTTATTTATTTTTGTCATAAGCTACAGATACTTATTATTTTCTATGCTTTGAAAAGCTATAACCAGCAAACACTGCGGTACATAGCAAAACTGCATTTAGTTAATCCAAACAATACAATCTTTCTTCAAGTGTCCTTATAATGTTGGTGGTTTATATCACTGCTTGTGTTCTGTTGTGTTTGCCTTTCTCTCTTTACTTTTGTTTGTTTATGTTCTTGGGCATCAGGGGACAAGCGTTTCACCACTTACACCATAAGTTGCATCCGAGAGCAACGGGAGGCATGTTTGTGAGTTTGTATGCTTGTGCACTTACTCGTGTGTGTGCAATATTGTTTTGCCTACTGTGTATGTTTGTGAATTAACAGGGCCTGAATGCTGTTGATGCTGATGATGGTCTCAGAGCATGAAATTTGACAATCTGTTCATTGACTCCTGCCCGTTGGTTGTATTTTCACAGTAATAGCCTGTTCTTTGTTTCTCTTTGGGTCTTTCTCGGTTCCCGGCACCCTTTTGTGTGCAAAAACACAGAGTTGTGGGTTAGGTGTATGTTCTGTAGGCTTTCGGTTACTAAATGCTTATGTGTTTAACGTCTCCGCCTCTCAGATGTTCTATCCTGTGTGAGAGAGATTCTCTGA